GTGAAGTCCAGGACCGCCTTCAGGCACTGCGCATGGAGAAACGGTTCTCCCTTCTTGGCTGGTGTCTGTGCTCCCTGTGTGTTGCTAATCTTTTTGTTGCAGCGAACTCATTGCCCGCCGCGAGGAGCTCCTCCGGCAGTGCGCCACCAAGGATGTGGAAGTCGAAGTCCTTGCGGACTGTGCGGAGCTTGTGCGCCGTGGCCAGCTGCCCCAGTACCTGCTTGACACCCTGATGGCCACACTTGCCCGCCCACAACCAACACCTCCTTGCCCCCCTGTGGACAACGATGTCCTGCTGCCCATTCCTGGGGTGAGCGATAAATAAACACACATTTTCTACGTATTTATTGTTGCGAAAATGATTTTATTTTTAAAAGGGCCAGATATCATTTTATTAATTTAAAAAATCAAAATATATTTTGCTTCGTGCCTTCCTGTGATTGGGCACTCCTGCATATGAAAGTACGTGTGTAGTGAGCGTAAAAGTGGTGGCATGCTCGTACGCCCGCATGGTACGGCAAACGTAACTGCAACTCGCTCCGTCCCGGAAACCGTTTCGACCAGACAATACGAACGCTGACTCGGGGGGCTTGGTTGCCGTGCAGGTTTCTCTCAATTTTCCGAGCCCGGGTGCGGAGCGAAGGCAGGGCCAGGACGCCCAGCAGCAGCAGCAGCAGCGGTATCTGAACGAGCTCACCGCTCCCGGTACGCTCCACGCCCCCCCCCAAGTCACGCGCTGCTGGCCTTGTGCTGCCAGTTCGTTCTGACCCCACGCCGTCGTCGGCATTGCCATTATCATCATTAGCGGGAGTTCATCCTCCGGCAGCGAGCCCAGTACCACCGCCCGCCTGGGATCACCCGCCACACGCTGTAAGCGTATGGGCGCAGCGACAAATGTACACCACCCGCTTTCCCACATTCACACGCACGCACGACCGCACACGCACGCACCGCACACGCACACGTCGGGCTCACGACTGAGGTGGTGTTCAGGGAGGAGCAGAGGGAGTGGCGGCGCCTCTCCGGCGGACCGGAGCCGCCCTATCACCGCCTCCAGGTGCCGTGCGCGCTTCCCTCGCCGTCGCCCCTAGCCGCCGCCCCGCCACACTTCCAGCCCGTGGCCTTCCCGGCAGGCGCCCAGCCCCCCGTCTTCGCCGCCGCTGCCACACCAACCGGGCCAGCACGAGGGCCGCACCACCACCATCACCACCAGCAGCCACAGCTGCTGTCCCCTTCGGCCTAC